GGCCCAAAGAAAGCCTGCTACGGTTGAGGGCTGGACAAATGGCCCAGTGGTTAAGAGCACTTGTTATTCTTCCAGAGGACCCAAGTTCAGCTCCCAACACCTATGTCAGAAGGCTCACAACCAGGGGATACAACACTATCTTCTGACCTCCTTAGGTATCTGTACACATGCAGTGTACATACAGAGTCACAGACAAATTCACAGAAATAAAGATAAAAATAAATCTTAAGCACACAAGCCATCTGAGAGTAAAGGCGTGCACTACCAGCATTTAACCCCATGCTTAAATTGTTCTGTACTTGGCTAACTAGAATCCTTTGAACTAACTTCTGAATCCATTTACATATCTTCATTTTGATGATATGATTCATCTTATTTTCTGGCCTATCAAGGAGTAGGCTTTTCTCCTACAACACTTAGGTTTTGTGTTTTTGTTTTTGTTTTTTGTAGGGTGGGGTTTAAGGAACTAAGATTTGGTGGCTAGCTATGCTCACCGACTTGGTAAATTTCTGCTTCCAGACAGTCAGACTCATTTCCTTTTTCTTTCTGTTTTTGGTTTTTCGAGGAAAGGTTTCTCTGTGTAGGCCTGGCTGTCCAAGAACTCCCTCTGCAGACCAGGCTGGCTTCAAACTCAGAGATCCGCCTGCCTCTGCCTTCCAAGTGCTGGGATTAAAGGCGTGCATCACCACTCCCCGGCTATTCTAGGTTTGGGACCCATGCCTGGGTTATTGGTTCTGAGAATGGAACCCAGAGTTTCCAGCATACTAGGTAAACACTCTATCAATTGAGCTACCCCCGGCCCCATATTCGTTTTCTTTCATTTTTTTTTTTTTTTCCACATAGGCCTCACTTGGCCCAGGCTAGTCAGAAATTCACTTGACAAGGAGGACCTTAAACTCTGGATCCTCCTGCCGCCACTTCCTGAGCACTATGATTATATTTAAATACTACCACACATAACTTATAACATAAATTTGCTGATGTCTCTATCAGTTCCATTCTCTATCTTTAACTTGAGTGGATGGCAGGTGCAGCTCAGTGGTAGAGCCTTTGTGTAGCATGTGTGAAGTTCTGGGTTCAAACCCCAGCAATGCAAAAGTTACCTCTAAGTGGACAGTCATGAGTTCATACCAGTTTCTCCCATTCAAATAAAGTGTCAGAAGATTCGATTTTGTTCTCTGCATTTACCTCCCTTTGGCATACAGTTGAAGACTCCAGTAACTCTCCTTATCCACATACTGAGTTTCTTTTTAACCATACGCCTGAATTTAACAATGTCCTTTCCCTACTTGGGCTACACACCCTGATTCAGATTGCTCTAGCTTTTCTTCCAAACGCTAGTCCTGAGACCCTGTAGATGCCCCCTTTACTCTGCTTGAGTGTCTGTACTCTGTCAGGCTGCCGTCCTTACCCAGCCCCCCCCCCCCTCCTCCTCCTCCTGGTGGATTCTACCCTCGTGTGTGCCATCTGGACTACTTACCCTGTTGAACTCTAGTAGCTTCTGGACTGAAGTTCTCAGGAAGGGTGGATGAGGAAGAGGAAGAAGGTGATTTATAACTTACAGGTTCTTGAACTTAGGGACTATACCTGGAACTGGTTTAGATGATGAAACTTTGCACTTGAATGAGCTTTTGGGGAGGACAGGACTTAGAACTACAGATGTATTATATATTTTACACGTGAGAAGAATCTAAGTCATTTTACCTACTGAAAAAACTTCTTGCTCCTTCTACATCCACCAAGAAGTCTTTATTTTATTTATTTATTTATTATTTTTTTAACTCTTTTGGAACCTAGACTGCCCTTTTTGTTGTTACTTTTTGTTGTTCATTTTTAGACAGGGTCTTCTGTTGCCCAGTCTAGATTAGAACTTATTTATCTAAGGATGGACCTGCCTCCACCTCCAAAGTTATGAGATTACAGGTGTATGCCACCATATCTGACTTTAAATTATTTAAAAATTTTTATTTTGAGACAGAGTTTCACTCTGTAGCCCTGACTGGTCTCAAACTCAAGATTCTTCTGTCTTCGCCTTTAAGTGCTGCTAGGATTACAGGCATGTGTAACCATGTATAGCTCTGAAATCTATTTTAACCCAAAGAATTCTCTCAGAAGTGATGCTTTGGGGCCAAGAACACAATGATCTGAGTTCAATCCTCAGATCCAAGGTGAAAGAACTGACTTCTGAAAGTTGTAGTATGAACTTCACACACTTCTGACATGTGTGAACACACACACACACACACACACACACACACACACACACACACACGTGAACAGAAGTGATGTTTTAAGGCTGAGTCTTAGGAAATGCTCTTGCGTTTATCTTGAGCTGCTTTTGGAATGTGTCCCCCAGTTTGTGGGGACAACCAAGCAGTTGTCAGCCTAAGTCATTACATGGGAAGGCCTTTGGGGAGGGGGTCAACTTGGGGAATGAAGGTCCCATAACTCAAGCCAGCTAGGCCTATGAGCTCCCAGCCTCCATTAGCACCAACCACCAGGGCACACACAGGAGCTTGGAGAAGCACTGTGTGAAGCTATTGTGAAATTTCCAACTGCACTACTGCCTTAGTTATTACCACAGGAACCAGAACTGCCAGTCGATAACCCAAAGTGAAAAGCGGCTGTCACGCTGTCTGGGAGTTGTGTTATCGACCTGTAAGACAATTGCCTGTTACGTGCTGGGTACTACTTCTGATCTACTGGGGTGAAACAGACATGGAAACTGGCAGGTGTAGAAAAGGTTCTTCATCTTCCTAGACAATTACCAGGTGCTGTTATTTTTTTCCTGGCTTTCTGGCCCAGAGGGTCCTGGGATAGATCTGTGGCCCTAACACTCTTTTAATCCCGTTCCCTGGTCATCATCTGTACCTAGAAAGACTCTCCATTTTCCTCTGCTCATTTTTTCAGACAGTGAACTAATATGCCTCAGCCTAGCTCACGCCCAACCAGAATTTCCCCACTAGCATAGGACAGTGGAGTTAGCTTCACCCTGACCGGCTCTCAGAAGAGAACTTGTGACTTTGTGTTTTAAACTAACTTAGCAACAAAGGCTCCCCTTTCCTTTTTTCCATACCAAGACAACCATTTCTAGAAAGCCAGGTAGGTGGTTCACACCTACAATTCCCACACTTGGGAGGTTGAGGCAGAAGGATTGTTATGAGAGTTCAAGGCCAGCCTGGGCGTCACAGAGTTCTAGGCTAGCCTAGGCTATAATGTGTGGGCTCCTGTCTTGAAAAAGAAAAGAAAGGAAGGGAGGGAGGGAGAGAGAGAGAGGGAAGAAGAAATGAAGGAAGGAAAGAAGGAATGAAGAGAAGAAGGAAGGGAGATGCTCATAGTATCCCTGGTCATGATAATGCAGGCCTACTTCTAAAGTCAGACTTGTGAGGCTGAGGGAGGAGGATGCAAAGTTTGAGATCACCCTGGGCTACGCAGTGGGACACTAATCTCAAAACAAAACACAAGCAGGTCGAGCAGATTTTGCAATGAGTAGTAGAGTACTCCAGGAAGGTCTTCTCCATAAGGTAGCATTTGAGGAATCTGAATGAAATTTGAGGGAAGAGTATTTCTGGTCAAGCGAAGAGCGGGTACAGAGGTCCTGACCTAGGAAGAAAGGAAGACTAGGGAGGCACGGAAACAGGTAACTACTTAGAAGGCAATCTTATAACCCAGGCCAAGATGACAGTTGCTTGGTTTGGGATGATTGCAGCAGAGTTGCAGGTGGTGAAGTCTGGTATTTGAAGGCAGCAGAGGCAAACGTACTGAGGGCCTGGGAACATTTGGGAGCTAGGATAGCTTTCAGGTTTTGGTCTGGGGGAACTGTCAAACAATGGTGCCTCTTTCTGAGCGAGAAGAGGATGGAAGTGGACTGTAGGGGCTAAGTTGTAGTGGGCAGGATTTGTTCAGTTGAGATGATACAGGAAGGTGGAGCTTAGGGAAGAGATGCGGGCTACAGACAGAAATTTTTGGTGTCATCAGCTTACAGTTAATGGAAGTCAACAGAAGAAAAGTACATTTTATATGATTGCAACAAAATGTCAAACTGCTCAGCCTGTTTTCTCATCTATGAAACAGAGACAGCTAACAACCCCTACTTCAGGGCATATATACTGAATAACAATACAGGAGTAGCTAGAATTAGCTAACATTTTCTCGTCTTAAGGGTTCTCACCACAGGGCGAGGACGCACGCTTGTAGGGATGGGACTGGCAGAAAGATGCATTAATTCACAAGCCTGTGTGCAGGAGAACAACCCGGTTTACATCCTACACTGTTGCACCTAGAACCAAGCTGGGCTGGCCCCTGAGGTTCCCCAACCGGGCAAACACCAAAGCAGGAGTATGGCAACTTGGTCACTTCCCTCACGGCAGGACTCTCCACTAAGCCGCTCCTCCTTGCTAGCCCCCCCACCCCCCCCCACCCCCCCACCCCCCGCTCCCCAACACAGTCTGGCGGACCCAGCTAGGCTAGGAGGATCTTTGGAACGCCCCAGAGAATCCGTCCGCTGGCCTCGCGGGGCGTCTAAGCCGGTTTCCTAGACGACCTTTCTCCGCTCCAGTTTCTCACTAACCCCAAGGGCTACCCGCCAGTCCTCTTGGCCTCACACCCTACTGTCCCAAGCCCACACCCGAGAGCAGCTCGTCGAACGAGGAGGCACGGTCTGAAGAGACTTAAGCCCCACGGCGAACGCTAGAAGGAAAAGCCGAGCGCCGCTGGGCGTGGGACGCCGGTTCAAGCCCTGGACTCATGGGGCTGGCGGAGCGCCACGTTTAGTCCCCAGGAGCCGCTGCGTCCTGCATCCCACCCTCCCGTGGGCCCGCCCCTCAAGCCCCGCCCTCCCTTAGCGGCCTGAAACCCCAGCTGAAGGTCCCGCCCCATCGTCTCTCAAGCCCCGCCCTCCTCAGAGACCCGCGTTGCGGCCCCGCCCCTTAGGCCCCGCCCCCGCAGGTTCCGCTCTCCTCGCCTTCTGAAAACCCGGTGGAGGCCCCGCCCCCGGCCGAGGCCCCGCCCCGTGCCCATCCGCGCCTGTGGCTCCCTGCTGATCTCTCCTGAGTCCGGCGGCCCCGGGTGTCGGCTTTCCGCCGCGGGCGGCCGGCGCTGCGCTCCCTCGCCTCCCCCCCTCGGCCCCTCCCTCGATCGCTGTGGTCGGGTAGCTCCTGGCGGGCGGCCTGCGGGCGGGCCGCCCTCTCAGCCGTCGCCCACCCCCTCTTAAAGCCGCGGCGGGAAGATGAGGTTTCGGGAACCGCTCCTGGGCGGCAGCGCCGCGATGCCGGGCGCGACCCTACAGCGGGCCTGCCTCCTGCTCGTGGCCGTCTGCGCGCTGCACCTCGGCGTCACCCTGGTCTATTACCTCTCGGGCCGCGACCTGAGCCGCCTGCCCCAGCTAGTGGGAGTTTCCTCTCCACTTCAGGGCGGCACGAGCGGCGCCGCCGCCAGCAAGCAGCCCTCGGGAGAGCTCCGGCCTTGGGGCGCGCGACCGCCGCCTCCTTTAGGAGTCTCCTCGAAGCCTCGGCCGGGTCCCGACACCAGCCCCGGTGCGGCTTTTGACCCCGGCCTGAAGAGCAACTTGACTTCGGTCCCAGTGCCCCCTACCACCGCGCTGTTGTCGCTACCCGCTTGCCCGGAGGAGTCCCCGCTGCTCGGTAAGAACTAAGATCCAAGGTCAGGGACTCCTCGGATTTCCTCTACAGGGTCCCCGGGACGTTATCCTATGATCTCTTTCAGGACTGCCAACCTCCAGGTTTTGATCATCCCCAAGACCAACTTCGGGGCTGACCTGGGAGAGGTTGCCTAGTGTCTCAGAGGCTGGGGCCCTGTTGGGAAGCCTCATGCTCCCCTGGCCCCAGCATCAGAGAAGGCCCTGGAAACACCCTTGTTCTGGCCCAAGGCTCAGGACGTTTTGGAGTTGGGGTCGGTTTAGGGTAGACGGTAGACTGAAAGGCTGCTTCCAGCCTTGCCTACCTGTAGCCACACCGGTAGCAACTTCTACCGTTTGGGGACGGGACCGACAGTGAGCAAACCACCTCCTTCACCACCACCCTCCTCCACTCCGCCTTTGAACAAGTGACTTAACTTTCTCTTTAAGGTTTCTTTCTGGTAAATGGAGATAATAAGCCGCATCTATTTAGGGAGTTGTTTTGAAGGAGTAAATGAAGCACTGTAACTAAGAGTTTAAATAATGAGGATGAACTTTTACAAAGTTGCTACAGTTGTGGGATTTCCTGGACCAAGGGGCCTTCCGTCTCCCACCCCATGTTCCTCCGCCTCAAGGTTCCTCTTAACCAAAGTGAGCCTGTCGCTCTCCAGGCGCAGAGGGCCTGTGTACTCAGGAGACTGGAGGGCTAAAATTATCCAGATCGCTGGGGGCTGCACTTTTCCTGGCTTTGCTTGACTAGCTGAACTGAACCCTGGCCTTCACCAGGCAGGGAGCCGGTAGATGGGTTTACGTTTCTAGTACTAGGAGGCTGGCCCAGGGTAGACCTCCTGTGTGCCCTGTAGACCACAGGTTGCTTCCACCGCTACCAGCCAGGTGGCTGCTCATTTCTAATGCCAGGTTTTAGAGAATGCTGTTCGGAGGAGCCCCACCTCCCCACAAACAGGCAGGCAGTCTGCCAGCAGTTCTGTCACGTTCCCGGAGAGCCCTGGCAGAGCAGGCCTTCCTATAGTCTATTGCTCAATTTCTCCAATAATTACTTCAATATTTTCATATCAAGTTTGGGAGGAACCTCTTGGAATTGGCCAAACATGAGCAGAAAATTGAATTCCTGTGGACTTGGTCGTTGATCTGGGAAACAGGAATAGCCCTATGGAAAGTGAAGTAGAGTATTAGTCCTACTGATAAATGTCCAACTTCAAACATGATAGTGTTCCTTCCTAGTGTGTAAAATAGGCTTGTCCCTGCTACCCTCACAGGGTTATTTTAGGACTGATTGAGATTGTGTACATAGTAGCTGCTCGGTCCAAGATAGCAAGTAACCAGCAATACAGTCTGAGGTTTTCTTAGACCTCCGTGGAGATGGCTCTGAAGAACACAGAGGAGGAAGAGAGTGAGTCCCCAGACCACAGTGTCTGGGCCTTTTGCTTTTGTTTTTGGTTGTTGCCTGGGCATTATGCAGATAAAATTAGTCAAGTTCCCTAGGACCAGGGACATAGCTCAGTTGGAGGAGTGCTTGCCTAGCGTGCGGAAAGCCTTGGGTTCGATCCCAGCACCACATAAAACTGAGAGCATGGTGGTACATGTCTGTAACCATAGTGCTTGAGAGGTCAAGACAGCAGGATCAGTTCAAGGTCATCTTCTTCTGTGTCGTAAGTTGGAGGCTAGCCTGAGATACATCAGACCCTGTTTCAAAACAAAAACCAGGTAAACATGGTTATAGTTGTTTAGAGTATAGGGTCTTCCTGCTGAAATATGAGAGACAGTGGTGACTGTAGTTCTCTTGGGTTGGGTTTGGTAATGTGGTGTTGCTGAATTAATTCTGAAATAGACAGCTCAACAGGGCCTTCCTGAGAGAACATTTTTAGACTGTGGAGCCAGAGGGCTGGGCCTTTTCTAGCCTGGCTACCTTCATGTGACTTGCATGGGACTGATGTTCAGGCTGCTGCTGAGGCCACAACCCCAGAAATGAGGGTAGAAGTTTTATTTATTTATTTATTTATTAAGCTCTTAGAGTTGAATGATTGGGTGCAACTTTTGGAGGGCAGTTCCTGGCCAGGAGGAATCTTAAGAAAGCTTTAAATCTGCCAGGGACTGTGTGTGTGTGTGTGTGTGTGTGTGTGTGTGTGTGTGTTTGTGTGTGTGTGTGTGTGTGTAGTCCAGCCCATCTGTTCTGCCGGGCAGGTGTCAGCCAAAGCCCTTGGCCGTGGTTTTGAGGTTTTTGGGAGAAAGCATCCCTGGGGGTTAGCACAGTGGCTCTTTCACTACTTACAGTTTCTTTCCTCGACTTTCCTCTACTTTCTAGTGTCCAGCGGTCTAAGCGAGATGCTTGGATCTTTTTCAGTTGATAGCTGGTGACTTTGAGGTGATAAGGGACCAGACCAAGCTGCTGTTAGGTCACTGGTAGATCTGTCTTTGGTCTATCAGAACATTTGAATGGATGTTAGATAGACTGAGGTTAGAATTGTGCTTCTACAATATGTGTGACGGGGGCAGGCTGTATTGTTTGGAGTACTAGTGTTGGTGGGGGTGGACTCCTCTCCTGTGGGGCTAAGTGTGAGTCCCTGGCTCTCTGTCCCACCCTCCCCGACTCCAGTGTGGGCTCCAGGGTTTAGATGGCCTTTCCTGAGAAGTTCTCCAACTCTGCCCAGAGAATTCTAGTTACTTCAGACTTTTTTCTCTAGCCTTGTGACAGGCCCTCAGGTAACTACTGTGCACTGTATACTCTACTGATCATGGCAACCAGGCTCTCTTTTCTGGCCACCTGGACGCTTGCCTGGGATAGGAGGAGCCACAGCCTTGCGGTTCTTTCCTGGAATGTTTATCTTTTTCCAGAATGTTTTATCTGCTCATATTTGGCACAGCTCAATGTGATTTGACTGGCTGTGGCACAGGCATTTTGGGTGTGGTGTTGGTGGAGAAGGTGATATCAGTTGGATTGATTTCGGGAAGCAGGGCTAGCTGGCTCAGCTGGGGGCCTGGGACAGATAGTACAAATCCTTCAAGGGGGCAGTGAGTTCTGGGCATCTTAAACCTCAGAGGCCCCTCTTGCCCAACTATGCTTTAAGGAGATACCCTTCATGTGTTGAAAAGGGAGGATTAATGTGTGTGCTGCTTTTATTTATTTGTGTGTATGTGTATATGTGGATCCATATGCCATGGTGTGAATGTGGAGATTGGAGGACAGCTTGTCAGTGGCTTTCTACCATATGGGTCTTCCAGGGTATTCCAGTTTCAGGGATGGAACTCACGTTCTCAAGCTTGGTTGCAAACACCTTTACCTGCTGAGCCATCTTGCTGGCCGAGGATTCTTATCTAGAAGCAAACAGCTGTAGGTAGCCAAGGCCCTCTTAGAGTACTTTTTCTTAGCCAGCTTCCCTGACTTTTGGGGGGTACCTTTAGCCGAGCCTCCACCATGGCTTGTGACATTGAAGATGAAGTGCTTGCTAGCTCTCTTCTGGGCTCTTGGCTCTCAGACATTTCTCTTTATCATGCTGCTGCCTTCACCCATGTGTGCACATTTGGACACAAACAAGCTGATTAGAACAGTCTGTACTGTGAGATGTGGGAGAGGGCTGTCCTTGACTTTCCCATTCTGGGATGACTCTTGGGACCTCATTACCCTATGTTTTAGGGTGGAATTTCATCCTGGGGGTTAGAGGAGGTACAGAGATCCTCACCTGGATGCAGATCTTGCAGTTTTGGATTTGGGTAACTAGCCCTTTAAGCCAGTTTTGTCTTGCTGCTTTTCTCTGGAGGCAATAATTTATTGATGTGCACACAGATCCCACTGTCTCTAACAGTCACATTAGACATACCCTAACCTGCCTGGAGCTGAGATGTATGTTCCAGGAAAAGCATTACAAGGCCCCAACTCCTCCCATCTCAGACACAGTCAGGTAGTTAGAACGTGGAAACCTGATGGCCAAGGTCCTTCAGAAATACCCTCCATGACAGTCTGGATCTCTTTTTTTTTTTTTAATTTTTTATTGTGAAACCTGTTCATTTCTCCCAAATAGCATTATGGCAGGAGAAGTGATCCCTGCCTGTTAGTTATTTTACACTTGCTATGATGTGGCTCAGTGGTTGCATATACAAGGCCTTGGGTTTAATCCCAGCACTGGGGAAAAAAAATCCCAGGCTCTGAACAAGTGTGGGAACCACCGTGGCGGAAGGGCATCAGATAATCTGGTAGATGTTCCTTGGGACATGGAAAACAAGAGCCAAAAGCAGGATTGGATTTAACCATGGTTTCTCGGGTTAGCGTTCCTGGTGGGGGGACTCGGTGGTATTCTTGCCTCAGGTTAATGCCCAGAGGACCAGGAGTTGCCTTGATTGAAAGAAGATCCTTCTAAGGGTGCTTGTGCATCCCTTCCTCTGAAAGGTCTTATGCATGTCGGGATGACTGGTAACTTCATTCATTTACAGTGAGGACTGTGTGGAGCACTGGAGCTACAGAGAAGGAAGAGGTCTCCCTTGTAGCAGTTCACAGTTTAGGCAGGAGAGACATAATTACTATACCAGTGCCTCTGAACTGTGTGTGTGTCCCTTTCCCTGACACTGTGCTCCCCCCCTTTCATTCAGGCTTGATATCAGAGTTCTTCTGTCCTGGTTTTATTTGATTGTGTGAAAATTTTCCTTTTCTTTCCGAGGCCGTCCATTAGCTCTGCTGGGTAATCTTAACTTGCTGCTTTATAATGATTATAATGAGATATCAACGGCCATCTGCCTGGGTATTATGGTCTTTGAGTAGCAGCAGGGTAGGGATTTCCAGGCTAATTTAGGGGTTGAGAATGATGGGGCAGTTGGTGCCAAGTCAGTCTGAGCCCTCCCACAGATTCTGCCCTGGGACCATTCAGACTTTGGAAGCACAGTCAACCGGCTCACCTGGATGCACTGGGCTCATGGACGAAGGGTCTCTGTGAAAGGGACCTAAGTATTTTTTGGTCAAGCCTGGTGATTCCTTCACTTCCCATTTATTTACTGCCT